GACAACCGACCAACCCACCGAGTGGTTCGCAGCGACCCCGTGGCCCCTGCTAATCATTGCAGGATTATCGGAGCGCTCGGGGAGCCCTCGGAGACCCTGCTGATTGGCCCGCAGACATTCCAGGGCTGCAGATTAACGAATAATGGCTGTGCCCCCGCTGGAACAGTGTCCTCCAGGCCCATTGGCAGCTTCTCCTGCCAGCCCCAGGCCCAGGGAGGCTGCGGCCATGTGCCCTGCGGGAGGGCAAGAACTGGGCAAGACCCCAGGGGAGTTCTTTCCTTTCTTGGGAAGCCCCGTCCCAGCCCCCAGCCATGAATTAAACATAGGCAGATGGTAACCGCACACCAGTCAAGTGCCACCGGTGGGTGGGGGCACTGGGGCAGTGGGTTTGTAGGGGAGTGGGCAGGGGCTGCCCCAGGGTGAGGAAATGGGTGCCTTAGGACAGTCTGTCTGGGTCGTGTGCGGGGCTGGGCCCCAGCCCTACTGACCCCCCAGGCCCACCCACGTGACTGCAGGCCAGGAGAGGGCAAAAGCGGGAAGAGAGCACGTGATGCCCTTGGCTGACTGAGTCCTGCTGGGAACAAGTCGGCCTCCAGACAAACAGGCAGGAGGGCAGCCAGTTGCCATGATGCTCCGGGGCCTGGCTGCAGCCGGCACAGTCCCACTGGAATAAGCTGAAGAATATCTGCACCATGGCCCGCATTTCCTAGAAAATAAAATTTGTCCCACAGCCAAATGCCCACATTCCCCTCAGGGCAGAGCAAAGGTTATTCAGCCCTCGGCATAGGACAGCCCGGAAAGCCAGGTACTTCATCCTTCTGGAGTTTGAGTGACCCCTGACCCCCGGGGCCAGCCCTCTCTCAGAACCAGGTGTCAGTTCCCTGGAAGCTCTGCTGAGAGGTGAGTGGGCTTGGCTTTTGAGGGGGAAACACCGATGGAATGTGGATACATTTGTGGATGTTGGGGAGTGGAGACAGGGCCAGGCACAAGGACCCCTAAGCCAGTCTGGGGTTGGGGATCCCCCTGTAATACCCAGGGCCTGAGGAGTTTCTTCTCCCTCAAACGGATGACCAGACAACCTCAAATTCACCCTGTCTGGGTCCCAGCGGTGCTTAATAAAACGGATATTTTTCTATAGCATTTACAAAGCAGCTTCGAATATGTGAATTCACTTAATTGTTGCAACAACCCGGGGCAATAGACGATGAGGAGTCCATGTTTTGGACGCGGAATCTGGGCTCAGCGTGCCTGAGGGACTTGCCCCAGGTCACCCGGCGGGCACATGGTGCATCCCAGCTAATCCGGGGGCTCTGTCTTCACATTCATTCCCAGACCCTGGTGCAGATCTGCTTTAGTTCACATCACGGCCCTTTGAATTCAATTCCCACAGCCCTTCTCTGCACCAGGTAACAAAAGACCCAATTCCTGCTCCTGGGCTTTGAAGATAAATGTGGCTAGTTTTCCTGTAGTACAATGCTGGGCACGTGACATAGGTGGGAAGAAAATATATTTTGGGGCCTGGGGTGGAACAACTTTTGAGCGGCTCTGGCTCACTGTAAGAGGAGGCCGGGGCGAGCCCGGCTTTCAGGAGCCAGAAGAGGAGAAGCTGAGCAGAGAAAATACCAGACCAGGCATCTGAGGGCCTAGCTTCTATCTGAGGTGCTCTCTGTGACCCTGGGATTGTCACTTGCACCCTGGGTCTCAGTGTCCAATGGTGTAAAGCAGGGGTGACAATCTCGCTGGACTCCCTAACTAGGGCATTGCACTTTGGTGTATGTAATATTTCCTCCTGGGTCCAAACTTTTTACAGGAACCTGCTGCGTGGTTGTAGTGGGGTTTGAGAATGGGCATCCAATTTCTTGCAAGACAGATTTCCCCAATAAGCAACTTCTATTCTGATTTCTATCACCATAGGTTAATTTTATTTGTTCTGAATTTCATATAATCAGACTCATAGAATATACATGCTTTGAGGCCTGGTCTCCTTTGCTCCATGAAATGTCTGTGAGATTCATCCATGTTGTTGTTTAGTATTAGTAGGTTGTTTTTGCTTTTGTCATTGTTGTTGCTCTAATTGCTGGTAGTGTTTCATTGTATTTTCATTCTCCTACAGATGGTTATTTGGGTTGTTTTAAGCTTTTGTTTATTATGAATAAAGTTGCTATAAACATGATTGTACAATTTAAAATTTTCGTTTAATAAACACATATAAAAGAAAGAAAAGACAAAATTACCCAAATCCTGAAGGAAAGGGGACATCGTCACAACTGATCCTACAGAAATCAGAAGGGTTGTAAGGGAATATTAAGAGCAACTTTATGTCAACAAAATAGGCAACATAAGAACAATGGACAAATTCCTAGAAAGACAAATTACCAAAAGTGACTCAAGAAGAAATAGAAAATCTAAAAAAAAAAAAGAAGAAGAAATAGAAAATCTAAGTAGATCTATCACAACAAAAGAAACTGAATGAAAAAGATTTCCCACAAAGAAAAGCTTAAGGGCAAATGGCTTCACTGGTGAATTCTGTCAATATTTAAGGGAGAAGTAATACCAATCATACATAAACATTTTCAGAAAGCAGAAGAGGAGGAGGATTTTCCAACTCATCTTACAAGATCAGTATTATCCTGCTACCAAAGCCAGACAAATATATCTCAAGAAAAGAAAACTATAGATCAATATCACTCATGAATACAAACACAAAAATCCTCAGTGAGGGACTTCCCTGGTGGTTCACTGGTTAAGAATCCGCCTTCCAATGCGAGGGACGTGGGTTCGATCCCTGGTCGGGGAGCTGAGATCCCACGTGCCGCAGGGCAACTAAGCCTGCATGCCGCAACTACTGAGCCCGCATGCCACAACTAGAGAGAAGCCTGTGCACCGCTACAAAAGATCACGTGTGCTGCAACTAAGACCCGATGCAGCCAAAAATAAATATTTAAACAAATAAGCAAAAAATAAATTTTAAAAAGTCCTCAATGAAATATTATAAAAACGAATCTAGCACCATAAAAAATGATTAACACCATGACCAGGTAGGATTTATTCTAGGAGTGCAAGGTTGGTTTAACATGTAAAAGTCAATGTAATGCACTGTATTAATAGAACAAAGGACAAAACCCATATGATCCTCTCAAAGACGCAGAAAGAGCGTTTGATAAAATCCCAAACCTATTCCATATGATGATTCTCAACAAACTAGGAATAGAAAGGAAATTCCTCATCCTGTTAAAGGGTCCCTGTTATGGGCTGATACAATATCTGCATCCCCCCAAATCCATATGTTGAAATACTAATCCCAGTACCTCAGAATGTAACTATATTTGGACATAGTGGGTTTTGTTTTTGTTTTTGTTTTTGTTTTTTTGCTGCATTGGGTCTTTGTTGCTGAGCACGGGCTTTCTCTAGTTGGGGCGAGTGGGGGCTTCTCTTGTTGCAGAGCATGGGCTCTAGGTGCGTGAGCTTCAATAGTTGTGGCATGTGGGCTTCAGTAGTTGTGGCACGCGGGCTTCAGTAGTTGTGGCACGCGGGCTTCAGTAGTTGTGGCACGCAGGCTTAGTTGCTCTGCGGCATGTGGGATCTTCCCGGACCAAGGATGGAACCCGTGACCCTTTGCGGTACGCGGGCCTCTCACTGTTGTGGCCTCTCCCGTTGCGGAGCACAGGCTCCGGACGCGCAGGCTCAGCGGCCGTGGCTCACGGTCCCAGCCGCTCCGCGGCATGTAGGATCCTCCCGGACCGGGGCACGAACCCGTGTCCCCTGCATCCGCAGGCAGACTCTCAACCACTGCGCCACCAGGGAAGCCCGGCAGGCAGATTCTTAACCACTGCTCCACCAGGGAAGTCCTGGACATAGACTCGTGCTCTTATAAGAAGAGGAGGTTAGGATACACATACACACAGAGGGAAGACCATGTAAAGACACAGAAGATGGCCATCGGTAAGCCTAGGAGAGACCCTCAAAATAAACCAACCCTCTTGACACCTTGATCTTGACTTTCTAGCCTCCACAATGTGAGTAAATAAATTTCTGTCGTTTAAGCCACTCAGTCTGTGGTACCTTGTTATGGCGACCTAGCAAACTCATACAGCCCCTATGGAAACCCTACAGCTAACACTGTACTTAGTGGTGAAAGACTAAATGCTTTCCCCACTAAGATTGGAAACAAGGCAAGGATGTCTACTCTCACCGCTTCCATTCAACACTGTACTGCTGAATGTGCAATTAGTGCAATAAGGCAAGAAAAACAAATTAAAGTCATCTAGATTGGAAAGGAAGAAGTAAAACAGTCTTTATTTGCAAATGATATGATCCTGTATTTAGAAAATCCTAAGCAATGTTAAAAAAAAAAAAAAACCTACTAGAACAAAGGTCTCAGGATACAAAATAAATATATAAAAATCAAGTGTATTTGTGTAAACTAGCAATAAA